TACTGAGTTGTCTAATTCTGAAATTTTATTGTTAATCTTCTGGATTTCTGATTGCTGTCTCTCTATGGATTCTTGCAGCCTGTTAAATTTTTCATTATGCTCTCCTCTAATCTTTTTACTTTCCTCTATTCTGTGTTCTGTGTTTTGCTTAATTTCCTTCCTACGTTATTGAAGCATTCTGTATATTAATCTTTTGCATTCTCCCTCCAGTAATTCCAAGAAAGTTTCCTCCTCTGGAAATTTCTAGATTATTTTGAGAGCTTACTGAAGCCATCATGGATTGCCTCTTTATGTGATTTGATATTGACTGTTGTCTCTGAGCCATCAATGAGTTACTATCTTTATTTATTTTATGTTTGCTTACTGTGTCCTAGCTTCTTGTTTTGTTTTGATATGCCCAAATAGTCTGCTTCTATGAGCTAGTTTGATTATTGGCACCTTTGAAGCTCTAACGTCCTGTCGCCAGGTGGTTAGATGTGTTACTAGGTATGTTAGCTCAGGAGTCCGCCCACTCCTTCTGTATGGATTCAGCTCAGGTGCCCAGGTAGATAGCCACCAAGTGTGTGGTGCAGGCTCTCACCTACAGTCCTGGACAGGCATGGTTGATTGGTGTAGGCACAGGCACCTAGCTGCAGCAGGGAGACACACTCTGAGCAAGGCAGGGGGCTGATGGCTGTCCCTGAGTGTCTAGGAGGAAGGCGTGTCCCTGTTTCCTAGAGCTTGTAAATGGGTGGGTTTTGCATCCAGACTATAAGCACCCAATGCTGTTGGCTCTAAGGACTGGGGGGCACCTCTTATTCTTAGGCTCCTATCGCAGGTGGCTAGGTGGTGTGGGTGGAGCTGCCAGTCCTCAGGCCACTGATGTGGGTAGGTGAAGACCCTGCTTAATGGGCAGAGCAGCAGTGTCAAATGTCAAGAACCTGCCACTTCACAGCTGAAACAGTGCAAGTTAGACTTCAGGTATATACCCTGTTGTACTCTGCTAATGAGGGCCTACACTGTTGAAATGGGCTCACACAAGTCTTTGCAGGGTGAAAGGCACTCAAAGTCCGTGGATCCCTTATGCCTGTGCCTAGGCAAAGGAGCTGTGTCTACCCTGGTTTCCTGGCTTAGGGGAGCCGGCAGTTTATTTTTTCCCATTTGTTAATTTGTTCACTCTCTAAGGCAGGGAGAATGGCTCCAGGCATGTGACGGATCCTACTTCTGGCCCAGGGGACTCAGCAGTTGCTGAAGACAGTCAGGGTCCCAGTGCAGAGCAGGGAGCTGGAAGGTAAACGGGAGAGAGATTTCTCTCTAAGGGGGGTGTTTTTGATCTGCGCAGTAGGCTGTATGCAAGTACTTATCTTTTGCCAATCGAGGGCTGCTTCTCACTGGTTCTAGGTGGCCAAGTAGACTCTCTGGTGCTGGGTCTCTCCCGGTGCAGAAAATGCGCCTCCTGAGCACCGCTGCCTGCGTGCCTCACCGCTCCCCCATGAGCTGATCAGGCCTGAAAGGCTCAGGCTCTCGCCGAGTCAGGTCTGGCAACTCCTTGCTGCTTCTGAACCGTCTCTCCCTCCCCTGCCACTCAGTCCAGTTCCTCATCTTTGCCTTAGATGTTCCAGGCTCCTAGACTGTCATATATAATCAATTCACTTGTTTTTTTCAGGTCTTTGTTATAAGATGGTCCACTGGAAGCATCTGACTACTCCACCATCTTGGCCCCACCTCTCAAAATTTAAAACTTTTGCTCTTCAAAAGGCACTATTAATAAAATAAAAAGGCCAACTACTTTTTGCAAAACCAGTATTTGATAAAGGACGTGTATCCAGATAAAGAACTGTATCCAGAACATATAGAGAACTCTTAACTACTCAAAAAGAAAACAATTTTTTTTTAAATGGGCAAGAAATTTGAACTCCACCAAAGAAGATATATGGATGGCAAATAAGCACATGAAAAGATAATCAACATCATTAGTGAATAGGCAAATGCAAATTAAAACCACAATGAGGTATCACTACACTGGCATGGCTAAAATTTAAATGAGGGACGATACCCATATCGGCTGGGATATGCTGCAAACTGGTCCTCTCCTATGTTGCTAATAGGAATGGAAAAATGGTACAGTCACTTTGAAAATCAGTTTGGCAATTTCTTATAAAGTTAAACATACATTTAACATATGACTTAGCTATTTTGTTATTAGTTATTTACCCAAGAGAAATGTAAACATATGTTCACAAAAAGACTCCTACTCAAGTATGCACAGCAGCATTATTGGTAATAGGCTCAAACTGGAAACAACCCTATATCCTCCAAGTGGTGAGTGGATATCCATTAAATCTAATACTCAGCAATAAAAAGGAACAAACTACTAATACACACAGCAATAAGAATGAATCACAATAACAACTAAGCTAACTGAAAGAATTCAGACCCAGAAGACCGCATACTGTATGATTCAATTTGTATGAAATTATAGGAAAAGCAAAAATAAAGTGACAGAAAGCAAATCAGTGTCTTCCAGGGCAGGGGACTGACTACAAGGGTCACAAAGAAACTTTTCAGGGTGACAGAAAAGTTCCATATCATGATTGTGGCGGTGGTTATGCTAATGTATACATGTGTCAGAACTCGTTTTGTACACCTAAAATGGGTGAATTGTATCGTATGTAAATTATACTCTAAGAGAGATTACAAAAAAAGAAAAAAAAATCCTTTACTTCCACACCAGTGCCAAACCAGATAGCCCAAGTCCATTTTATAGTGATCCCCAGGCAACAGAATTTGAAGAATTAGCTATACCAATCCACTACCTGATGTTGCAGAACAGGTTTGAGAGAGAGAATCCTTGTAAAGTAACACAGTGGACAGTTCTCCGGCTGTGGAACAGATGTTCTTATTCCCACTGTTGCCTAGAACATGTTGCTACAAAGTAAGGACATAAAAGAAGACAGTTTAATCTTAACATCTCAAGCATTGTATTACAAAAATAACCTCGAAGATCTAAAAGTTCACATTAAACAGAATAAAATTTACACATACAACTGAGAAGTAAAAAATTTTCAGCCTGTCCCCAGGAATGTTATCAAGCTTCCTTTGTATGTAACAGCAAAGGCACTACTGTTTTTTGAGCACCTACACATGTCATCTCCTGGCACCATATCAGACAATGTTTCACTGCTATTAATAAGGTTTCCACTGGCTAATTTTTTCAGAAGTACACCACCAGGTCCTTCTTCCTAGTTTGTCTTAGTCTGGAAGCCTAAGTGTGGATTACACTTCAACATAAAGAAAACAAACATCCTCACAACTGGACCAATAAGCAACATGATTATGATGAGAAAAGACAGAAGCTGTCAAAATTTCATTTTACTTGGATCCACAATCAACACCCGTGGAAGCAGCAGTCAAGAAATCTACTGACGCACTGCATTGGGCAAATCTGCCGCAAAAGACCTCTTTAAAGTGTTAAAAAGCGAAGATGTCACTTTAAGGACTAAGGTGCACCTGACCCAAGCCATGGTATGGACAATGAATAAGGAAGACTGAAGAAGAATTAATGCCTTTGAATTATGGTGTTGGCAAAGAGTACTGAATATACCATGGACTGCCAGAAGAACCAACAAATTTGTCTTGGAAAAAGAACAGCCAGAATATTCCTTAGAAGCAAGAATGGCAAGACATCATCTTAGGTACTTTGGACGTGTTATCAGGATGGACTAGTCCCTGGAAAAGACATTATGCTTGGTAAAGTAGAGGGTCTGCAAAAAAGAGAAAGTTCCTCAATGAGACAGACTGACACAGTGGCTGCAACGATGGGCTCAAGCGTAACAATGATTGTAAGGATGGTGCAGGACCAGGCAGTGTTTCATTCTGTTGTACACAGGGTCAGTATGATTCAGAGCCAACTCAGCGGCACCTAACAACAACAGCAGCACACATGCCAGGCACCATACAGGTGTGGGCTTTTTTTTTTTTTTTGGGTAACTCATTAACCAAATATATACTGAATATTTTCTACATTCTAAGTGTCGTTCCAAACACCAGTGATACAAGAGTGAACAAAACGAAGTTCTAGCGATCCTGGAGTTTATATTGCAGGGGGGAGAGGTACAATATAAATATTCCTTCGTTTAACCTCATTTAATAAGCCATGAAGCGTTAATCTTCTCATTTTTGAAATACGGAAACAAAGGCAAAGAAAGGTTGAATAACTCGTCTAAGCTGGCCCCCGTAACAAGTGGCAGAGCTGGTATCTGAATCCAACGTCTTCGTCCACAGCCCAGGCTTTCTCACTCCAATCACTGTGTTGCATTAGATTTTTAAAAACTGTACTAACACCAGGCTTTCAAAACAGAGCATGTTTTCTTGATTTGGATCATCAGATTTTGAACATCTGTTAAAGGGGGGTATTATACCTCAAGGGAAAGACTGAAGAAGAGCTCTGTGCAAATATTCCCGCTCCTCTTGGATACTATAACTAAATATAAGAACTTCATATTCCAAAGTTTAACCTGGTAAATAAATCTGAGTATGTCTTTTTAGGTAAAGGGATGAAAAGTTAAAGGAAACTGACCAAAAGTTTTTCATTTTTGGCAATGACACATGTAACTGTGAAACTATAAACAGCCTGCTTTTTTGATAAGTAATGCTGAGAGTGGATCTTGCCTCTTCTGTACACGCCTGTTATTACAATAGATGCTCACCCACCAGGGCAGAACACGGAGCCTCAGTGGGTCTTACAACTATGACTAAAGAAAGTAAAATCTCTAAATTCCTGTCTAATCAACATAGCTTCTTCCCATCTTTCCAGACCATAACCCCAGTTGTAAATAAGTAAATACACATTACAGGTAATAAACATGTTACTACCCGGATATCAAATGTTAAAGGAAAAAAAAAGTCCAGTTCACATAGAAAACTTGAAAGACAATATTTTTGGGAAAATCTCACGAAGTATCTGTTATGGATTGAAGTATGTGTTAGAATTCTAACCCTTACACCTAAGGATGTGATTCCATTTGGGAAGAGGGTTTTCTTTGTTATGCTAATGAGGTCATATCAGTGTAGGGTGTGTCCTAAAGCTAATCACTTCTGAGTTATAAAGAGAGCAGATTAGACAAAAGAGAAGCAAAAATGAGGGAAGATAGGTGCATGTGAAGACTGCCAAGGAACTGAGGAACACTGGGGCCGCAGGAGCTGAAAGAGACAAGGATTTTCCCAGAGTCAAGAGAGAGAGCCCTCCCCTCTAGCAGGTGCCCTGAATTCGGAGTTGTAGCCTCCTGAACTATGAGAAAATAAATTTCTGTTCTTTAAAGCCACTTATGGTTTTTCTGTTACAGCAGCACTAGGAGACTAAGACAGTATCTAAGAAACCAAGACGTAACAGATTCTTTCATTCCTGCTTTTAAAATGCAGTCAGGTAGATGCTTCCCATGTTCATCTAAAACAAAGCTTATGGCCCCAATCAGATAGTCACAGTGTGGATTACCCACTGAGGCACAGCGTTCCACCCAACGGCCGAGCCTCAGCTGTAACCAAAGGACCCATGTTTGCTCTCTCACTTACGCACTGGAAGTCAGCATCTCTTACACACTCAGCTTCTGAACAAACGTCCCTTTTCATCTGATCTGGAGACTCAGAAGATCTGGGCATTTCCTCCTGAAGTAAGTCTAACTGCAGCGGCGAGCTGCTCCGAGAAGAAATAAATGGGTGCTCTTCACCGTGTGTCTCCCATCTTTCCTCCACCCTCCTTTGGTTGGTGACTGAAGATGGCGGTTCTAGGCCTGGAGTCACTGGTGATGTGGAGGGTGGTGTTTCAGGAGAGGCTTCTGCTCCCAGGAACGGATAAGGAGAGAATGATGGTGGTAACAGGGGACAGGCAGGGGGCGCATGTAGAAAAACGGTCAAAAATGTGTCCAAATAAGGAGCAGGTAAGGCTGGGACAGACGTCAGGCTGCCGGGTGGAAGAGGCCTGGGCAGACACGGCAGTGCAGTTCCAGAAGCCGAACATGCTCCCCCTAGAGAGGCCAGGGCTGGGAGGGGACACGCTGGCATGAGGGAAGGGGCCTGGCTGGGCATCACCAATGTGGACGGGAACGAGAGGACAGGGGCATGTGGTGCAGAGGCCCTGGGAGGGCACCAGGGCTGTGTGTCCTGCACTCCGTCTCTGAAGTGAGGGCAGACGTGGTCAGCAGAGCGGTTGCTGTCCGAGGGCACGGGTAGCTTCTTCCGTTTGTGCTTCCCCTTCTTGCACCCAGCTGATCTGGTCTGCTTGGAAGTAGAATCTCCTGAAAGGATAAAGATGCAGGCGTATTATGGAAAACTAAACCCCAAAAGGAAGAAAAGAGGTGACTATAAATACATTAAGTCCCTGGGTACAAAACAGTTAACACACTCAGGTGCTAACTGGTTCAAGTCCACCCAGAGGTGCCCTGGAAGAAAGGCCTAGTGATCCAATTCCAAAAAAATCAGCCATTGAAAATCCTATGGAGCACAATTCTATTCTCACACATATGAGGCTGCCATGAGTCAGAGTCGATGCAATAGCAACTTTGTCTCACATACTTTGGACATGTTATCCACAGGGACCAATCCCTGGAGAAGGACATGATGCTTGGTAAAGTAGAGGGTCAGTGAAAAAGAGGAAGATCCTCAACGAGATGGACTGACACAGTGGCTGCAACAATGGGCTCAAACATAGCAACAACTGGGAGGATGGCGCAGGGCCGAGCAGTGTTTCCTTCTGCTGTACATAGGGTAGCTATGAGTTTGAACCAACTCGACAGCACCTAACAACAACATAAATAGATCACAAAGCAATAAACATTTTGCCAAGAGTAACTATGTCTGCTACAGGGGTGGCATAAAGTAGCTCTACAACAATGACCAAGATCCTGGATAAAAGCTGTTGCTATTAAGTACACTTATTTCAGTATCTCTCAAACAGTTTCTTACAAGTAAAACTCCCATTCTTCACTGCTTATTTCTCAGTACTTATGAGATTTGTAAAAGTGACAGCTATGCAAATAAATGGAACGTTTAAAAGACGTAGCCACCTTGAACGTATGAGTATTTCACTTTGCTTCTGCTTTCTTGCTGCAGATAGGAGCTGCAGGGTGAGGACAGGATCTTTTCACGGAATTTATCAACATAATCCTGCTCTTCCTTTTGCGTGTGGGCTGATAAGACAGCCTTTGTGAGCCCCACGTGTTTAAATTCTTCTGAGGTCAGAAAAGTTGTCTGTGGGTTCAGGGTCCAGGGCTCAAATGCCAGAGTGGCTTCCTCTGCTGCAGTCAATTCTGCTGAGGTGGAAGAAGACGGCTTTAATTTTAATTCCTACCAAATTCTTATATTTATTTATTTTTACTGGCTTAACTGTCTTTCAATTAATTTAACAAACATTATGATGGCAACTGGAATATAAAAAACGTCATCAGGCTAACATCTACATTCATTTTATGTTTCTGCCTTTCTCTATACTTCCTGTTGTAATAATCAGTGCACGTATATTTAATTAAATCTTGATTTGATTATAGACATTTTTCTATTCCCCTAAACTCTTCAAAATTTTTCTTTGCTTCATCTTTGAGTTTAATTTCTAGTAGGTAATTTGTTCACACGGTTAAAAAATCCACAAGTATTAAATACGTTTTAATAAATTCTCTCCATCCCCGTCTATCATCTGCCTAGTTCTCATTTACTCCCCCTACAGAAATCCATTATTTTTATCTTCTCATATACCTTCCAGTTTCTCTATGCATACATAAACAAGCATGAACATAGGTTCTTATCCCCTGCTTTCATCCCAAAGGTATACTATATACACACTAGTCTGCACCTTGTATTTTTCATTTAACAATATCCCTTGGAGAACTTGATCAGTACACAGACAATTGTCTCATACTTTTTTTACACTGTAAATGATTCCATTTTATGTATATACCACAATTTATTAAGGTAAGCAGATGTAGATGGACTTTTACAGTGCCTTTCAGTACTGTAAGCACTGCTACAATAAATGTTTCGTTAATGTTTTTAATGAAAAATATTATCAACTAGATTTATCAGAATATAATTCACTATTTTTTCCCATTTAATTTACTACTTAAATATGTATACGCATTCCGCCAAGTAAAAAAGACTGTATGGTGGACATTGTGGTGGGTCTCCCTGACATCCATTCTATCTATCTCCCCTTGTGTAGTATCCAGGTGGTTTGGGGGGGTTCTGCCCCCACTCCACTTCTAGAAGGGGACCCCACTGCTCTGTATCAGTACAGCAGACAGCGGACTTCTGCTTCTGGCCAAGATGGAATAACAGGGACCAGATATGCCTTCCTGCCTCAAACAACTCAAAAAACAGACAAAACATATGAAACAACAGGTTTCAAGACACTGAACATGAGGTAATGAAGGACTGTGACCCTGAGGGAGGGGAGCCCAGTGGAACCTGGTGAAAGACATTTGTGATTGTGGTCCCTAGACCCAACTCATTCTTAGGTGTAAACTGTGGGGATATGGGCTTTCTGGAGAGCAAAAGACAGAGAGACAATAGACAGCTTAAGGACATCTGGGTTCTGAATCTACTTTCTCTCCCTGGAATAAAGATGTGGCCTTACAGATATTGAGACTGGTTTAAGTACCAAGGGAAACCATTATCAGTAAATACTCTCTTAAAGGAAAACATACAGATTGTAGTACAAATTTTTACAACGGTCATAAAACCAGAGTATAAAAAAAATGGTGGCTTAGGCAAAAAAACAAACAATAACTTTCCATATTGGGGAGGGGAAAAAAAAAAGCCCTACCTTGCCTGGCTATGTCACTGGCAGTTACATGCCCCCATCAGGAACCCAAAGTATCACGAAAAGGTACACTAAAAGGTACGCGTGCATCTGCTCCTGTCCTGAGGGACTTGCTCAGTTCCAGTAAAATTTCTCATCCTTGCCTAATTAAACTGGAAATGTAATCGAATCTTACCATAGCTGTGTGTGTCTGATCATTTCCCGCCAATCCACACCCTGTCTGTCAGTACTGCACTGTCCACTTCATAAGGGTTGTTGTCAGCATTAAATGAGTTAATACCTATGAAGAGCTAAGAACAGGGCATGGCACATAGCAACAGCTCCATACATGTTAGCTAATATACCACTGAAGACTGTTGTTGCTGTGTGCTGTAGAGTTAATTCCGACTCATAGTGACCTCATGTGACAGACTAGAACTGTCCCATAGGGTTTCCTAGACTGTAATCTTTATGGGAGCAGATCACTAGGTCTTTCCCCCCGTGGAGCTGCTGGTGGGTTAGAACTGCTGTAGCAGCCAAGGACTTAACCATTGCGTAACCAGGGCTTCTTCGCTGAAAACAAGCAAAGATAAAGATAACCCAAAAATCTGAGTTAACACACTTGTCACTATTCATCTAGCAAAACATTATGAGTAATGAAAAAAGTCAAAATGATAGGGGGCAGTAAAAAGGAATAAAGAGAAAACATTAGATTAGAATACCTTATCAAGTAATTATGTTGTTAAAGCAAGAGTTTTAAACATACTCCACTAGTTGTTATCAGACCAATACAAAAATCTGAAAGTGTATATGGTGCAGAGGTTAGAGCTCGACTGCTAACCAAAGGTCAGTAGTTCAAATCCTTGGAAACCCTATGGGGCCATTCCACTCTGTCCTCCTATAGGGTCACTATGAGTAGAATCGACTTGACAGCAATGGATTTGGTTTTTTTTGTTTATGATTTATCAAGTCACAACCACAGTCACGGTCTGAAATCGACACCTTTTTTAAAGGCCACCAACAAAGTGATCTAGTGCAGTCCCATCAATAACTGCATTAATACTCCCATCCTACTTAAACTTTTCAAAAAAACAGAAGAGGGAACATTACCTTACTCATTCTATGAGACAAGCATTAACCTGATACCAAAGCCAGACAAAGACACCACAAGAAAACTACAGACCAATATCCTGATGAATACAGACACAAAAATACTAAAAAAAAAATACCAGCAAACCAAATCCAAAAGCATATTAAAAGAAGTATACACCATGATCAAGTGGGATTTATCCCAAGAATGCAAGGGTGGTTCAACAATGTAATATACCACATTAACAAAGAAAAGAACCACTTAATCATCTCAATTGATGTTGAAAAGGCATTTGATAAAATTCAGCACCCTTTCATGATAAAAACACTCAACAGGATAGGAACAGAAGGGAAATGCCTCAATATAATAAAGGACATTTATGAAAAACCCACAGCTAACAACACACTCAATGGAGAAAGACTGAGAGAGACTGAGAGTGTTCTCGGCAAGATCAGGAACAAGACAGGGACGCCTACTCTCATCACTGCTATTCAACATTGTTCTGGAAGTCCAAGCCACAGCAATTAGCCTAGAGGAAAAAAGAAATAAATAAAAGGTACCTAAACTGGGAAAAAAGAAGTAAAACTATCCCTTTTCTCAGATGACATCATCCTATACACAGAAAACACCAAAGAATCCAGAAAGCTGTTAGAATAAATGAATTCAGCAGGGTGGCAGGGTACAAAGTTAACACACAGCCGCAATGAGCAAGCAGAAAAGAAAATTAAGGAAGCATTGCTATTTACGATAGCATCTGAAAGAATAAAGTACCTAGGAATAAATTTAACCAGGAAGGTGAAAGACTTATACACAGAAAACTAAAACATTACCATAAGAAATTTAAAAAGAACTAAATAAATGGAAAGCCATTCTATATTCATGGATTGAACAGCTTAATATAGTTAAGATGTCAATACTACCCAAAGAAATCTATAAATTCAATGCAATCCTCATCAAAATTCCAACAGCCTTCTTTGCAGAAATGGAAAAGGTAGTCCTCAATTTTATATGGAAGGGCAAGGGACCCCAAATAGCTAAAGCAATGTTGAAGAAGGGTAAAGTAAGAAGACTCACACGTCTTGATTTCAAAACATACTACAAAGCTACAGTAATTAAAACAGCCGGGTATTAGTAAAATAATAGACATATAGGCCAATGGAATAGAATTGAAAGTCCCAAAGTAAATCCATACATCTATGTTAACTAATTTTCAAGAAAAGTGTCACATATACTCAATGGGAAAGGAAGAGTCTCTTCAAGAAATGGTGCTGGGAACATTGGATTTCCACATGCAGAAAAATGATTCAGGATCCATGCCTCATACCATACATAAAAAACAGTTCAAAATGGATCAAGGACCTATGTGAAAACTAAAAGCATAAAATTCTTAGAAGAAAATGTAGGGGCGAGGCTGTGGTATCTAGTTTTTAATGATGGATTATCAAATATGACAACAAAAACGTGAGCAGGAAAAGATAAAATAGATAAATAAGTCCTCACGAGATTAAATACTTTTGTTCTGCAAAGAACTTTATCAACAAAAATGAAAAGACAACCTAGAGATTGAGAGAAAATTTTCAGGTACCATATACTGAATAAGAGACTAATATCCAGAATATAAATAAAATTTCTATACTTTAACAACAAAACAATAACTCAATAAGCAGAGGACTTGAACAGATATTTCACTAAAGAGGATACTCAAATGGCCAACAAGCACCTGAAAAGATGCTCAACATCATAAGCCATTGTTGTTGTTAGTTGCCATTCATTCAGTTGATTCAATGGCAACGTCAGGTGTTACAGAGTGGAACTGCGCCACACGGTTTTCTTGGCTGTATTTAATAGCAGCATATTGCCAGACCTTTTCCTCTGCGATACTGCTGGGTGGGATCGAACCACCAACCTTTAGGTTAGCCCTGGTGGTACAATGGTTAAGTGCCTGGCTACTAACCAAAAGGTCAGCGGTTCAAACCCACCAGCTGCTCTGAGGGAGAAAAAACCTGGCAATCTGCTCCCATATGATTACAGCCTAGGAAACCCTATGGGGCAGTTCTGCTGTTCTACTCTGTTACACAGGGTCGCTATGAGTTGGAATCAACTCGATGGCACCCAACAACAACAGGAAACTTCAATAGCCATTAAACCCAAAATCCCATTGCTGTCAAGTCAATGCCGACTTACAGCGACCCAACAGGGCAGAGTAGAATGCCCCATATGAGGAGTGGTTATGAGGAGAGGTTCGTGGATTCAAACTGCTGACCTTTAGAGTTAGCTGCTGAGCTCTTAACCACTGCTCGACCAGGGCTCCTCATTAGCCATAAGAGAGAGGCAAATCAAAACCACAATGAGATACCGCCTCATCGCCATTTGAATGACAATGATCAAGAAAGGTGAGGTTGTGGAAGAACTGGAACCCTCATCCATTG